TTCAGTCCAGCCGGTGCAATTCTAAGCAATTCCTGGTTCTGCACTCTGGACTGTCCCACGCACAGAAGGAGGTACAAAATAAATTAAACCCTTCCACTCAGGCAAGCAAGCCCAAACGAAGGACACTGACCCTGCTCATGAATATCCAGCGGCATCAAGGGTATTCTTTTTCTTTTTTAAAAAATTATTTTATAAAAAACAGATGTTGGCGAGAGCAAAACATAATAAAATTAAGAAGGACAAAAACTAAACACTAAGGGAAAACAACCAGGGACAGTTATACAATGAGAAAAGGAATGCATGCTTGATTCAAAGTCTGAGATGGGTCAATTCACTCAGATAGTTGTTGTAGGCCCACAGCCTAAGGCCTCAGCATCATTCGAAACCACAGGGTTTTGTTTTTGTTTTGTTTTTCCTTTCAAAGACACTCATGATCCTATCCCTAAAACCAATATGGTAGGGATTAGGTTGGAGTGGTTATCACTCACTAACTACAATATTTGCTATTTAAAAAATATATTTATATATAGTTCTGGGAATTTATGAAGCAAACAAAATATAACACAGAGATGCATTTGTCACAATTCACTTGAGTTGCAGCAACAGCAGAATTGTGGGAAGCAACAAGGAGAGAGGGCTGCTGCAAATGCAGCAAGTATGTCCTTAATATGTCACATAGTGCAATAGTCAGATTACCTCAGCTACTCTGCATCACTGGGTACAACATGACAAATGTCACATTACCATTTCCGTTAAAAAAGACAGTGTCTCTGCTCAGAAGTTGCCCTCGGAATTTTAGACATACACCTATAATTGCTTCTTTACAGATGTCTAAAATCTGGCTTTATTCTTCTCAGTTTGGAATGATCAACACATAAAATGACTTGGAAGATTTCTGTGTAATTCTCACCTTCACTGATGGCATGGCAAGGGGCAAAGAAGGATCCTGGCCTTTCTTATTTCAAATGACTGCATTTCATGCCAACAGGCAGAGATACCTCATAAACCTATGATCTTAATGTCCTCTATTTAACAAAATATGAATTCACAGCAAAAACAAAGCTTAGACTATCAAAAATAAGTGGGAGGCAGAGTAGAAACCAAAGGGCTAAAATCAAAAGGGCTAAAGAAGATGATTTATTACAAATTTATTTTTTATCTTTAGTATTGGAACTTGCATTGTTGCTCCATCACTTTTAAGGTTGTTTCATCTTTGGCAGCCTGTGCCAAGTTTACACTGAATCCTCATTTTCTTTTATTTAAAAAACAAACAAACAAACACCTATTAATTCCATTAAACCATGCTGTGTTTGGCGTTGCATAGGACTCATTTACTGCTATTTCTTTTCCAAAATTAACAACGCCAAGTTCTACTTTGTCTTTACACAGTTACTGAGATGACAACATCCATAATTAGTTGACTTTTACACAATCTCTGTGATCTGAATAACCCTGAAACACTTGATAGGAGAGAAAGGTTAGGGCCCCTTCCCCTTTTCTTAGAAACAAAACTGCATATTCTACTTTCTTTTTAAATGGAAGAAGAAAATATACAAGTCCATATTTATATCGTATTTCTATGAAGAGCAACAACAGTTCATATGTTCATGTTTGCTACTAATCACAATTCACCACATGAACACAGAATCCGCTCTATACCATGAATACTGCTGGAAGATGATGGTTTACGGTTATCAACTCACTGCTGCTGTATCCATAAGCAAAAGCATCCTGGAAATCAATCCCAAAGCACTTTCAGTACATAATAATGCAACCGCATTTAGGTAAGCATAGACTGTACACAAGTTTTATCAGCATAGTATCGACCCAAAATGAAAGATTTCCTTTTTTTAATTACAAAGCAGCGAGCCAATAAGATAAATCTATAATGCAGCCCTAGAGTTTGTTTGGTGTTTTTTTTTTATCTTAAACAATTTGGTCAGAATGCACCTTTGATATAAAAGCATTTTTAAACTTTATTATTAACACTTAGGACATTAAGAATTTCCAGATTTTTTTCAGTAGCATTTGTAGAACCACTTTGGGTAACAAATACAGTAGTTAGGAATACGCATCCAATTCAGAATGCATAATAATGTGTATCTGAATCCTTTCCGGCTAAAAACAGGGCTAGCGCTATGATGAGATATAGAGCAAGAATCTACAAAAAACACTGTAACATGTTTTTGTGGTGTTGTTGTGTTTTTCCCCCAGAGGCGACATCCTCTTTTGCTGGAATACTTTATAAATACATATTAAAAAGTAAGGCAACAACTCCAAACAGCCCAAGCTGTTTGCTCAACTCTTTTCCCAATTAGCTTCGCACTCCCTGGTGATCAATTTCATGGTTCTACTGTTTTGTGTTTGTCTTCCTTATTTCAAAATGGTCCAAAAGGATGATTTACTGCCATTTCTGAAACATCTCTGGTATGCATGCTCAATGATATATGCAACTAATACTGGTCAGGAGTGGAAGCCTGTGATGCCCCAGTGCCTGTTTTCAAAGGATTCAAGATATTGATTCAGTCCCCATACTCTGAAGCAATGAATCCAAAATTCCCTTCCCTGCTATGTTTATCACCTCTTCTCTTTTACTCCTAATTTCAAAACTAAAGGAGTACCAGCACTGCCTGGTTACTGGAAAGATGTTCAGCCCAGTACACAAAACTTTGATCAAGGACCTTTATCATTCATGGCCCTGTTCCATGTGGACATTCAATTCACGAAGATGTGCAAAAGGAAAAGATGTCAAATTACAGTCACGTGATCCAGAGGAGGATGTTATACAAACTTATAGGAAATGACAGTCTTTTTCTCTTCCATTGACTATAAATACATTTAACAGCTTAGCAGAAAGACAAGCTAAATTTAAGATCGTTCACATTTGAAAATTGCATCAGACTTTCTGCTAATGATAAATAAGGAACTCCCGACAATGGAATTTTAACATAGCAATTTCATCAATGGATCTCTGAAGACTGCTTTTTTCTTTTTTTTTTTTCAAGAGGGTTAGAACAATGATTATGTTTGCAAAGTTCTGAGAAGTCCATCTACGGTCCAAACTTTGGATTGAAGTCCTTATTTTGTTTTCCTTTACTTACAGACAGGTAGGTATATACAGTGCTGTTGTAATAATGAAACAAATGTGAAATCTACTGTAAAGTTGCACAATACAGAAAACTGTTGCTCCATCTTCTACTACATAAATGTGTGACTCCACAGGTTAGTAATGTTGTTCTCATTATTTTTGTTAAGTTGGAATTATCCCATCACGTCTAAGACCTCTCTTTAACTCCAGATCTTCTAATTTTTTCCACAATTCTTCACGCTCCTTTTCTTTCTTTTTCTCACTGCAGAAGGAAACAGAATAAAATGTAAACTACCAAGGAGTTTTTAAGAGATTATCCAATAACAACTGCCTCTTTAACATACTTGCCCCCATGTATGCTTTACAATTTCTTTGCCAAGTTTCATATGAAGTTTGAGGGTGTTTTCTCTTTGTTTTTTTCCCTCTATCATCCTCTCTTTATTTCTGACATTGACAATAAGACATACAAGTAATATTAACGAACAGAGGAGGAGATGATAAGAATATTTTAAGATTACACATTAGTATTACGTTCTACTTAATTTAATACGAAAATTAACTTTCAAATCCCTGAGAAAAAGTGAGAATCATTCATGTGTATCAGTTATCCTGAAACCAAGAGCAGGTTAGTGATATAGTCGAGTCTTAGCTAGGACACTGGTGGTGCAGTTAATCAAATGATCCATCAGTGGTTCAAATCCACTAGTTGCTCTGCGGAAGAAAAATGTGGCAATCTGCTTCATGAAGATTATAGCCTTGAAAGACCTCTGAGACAGTTCTACTCTGCCTTACAGGGTTGCCATAAATCTAACTACTTCATTGTCTTCAAATACAGTTATTCAAACAAGATGCTAGAGATGACATAACTCAGAATATATGGCGAGAAAACACACTTGTACTTTATTAACAACTATGTGTCTCATATATCATGTATCTTTAAACTCTACAGTAGAATCTTGCCTTTAAAATATATTAAGTGACCACAAAAATCCACATGATTAACATATTTTGTACCAATATAAACAATTAAACTAAACACATTTTTCTTTGGGATTTCAGTTTTAATGATCTGGATATAATTTTGTTAATATTATGATGTATTAAATTTTTAATGTACCAACTCTTCAAATCTGGAAAAATTATACACACAAGTTCTAGAATTTCAGGTTTTATTGCTTGGCAAAATTAACAACAAAGTGGATGCCTAAAATAGGGCCAACAAACTTTCTTTTGCCCAGGACATTTTTAAATCACTATATTTTTTTTAAAAAAGAAAAGGGCATTTTAACACCAAGCAACTCGGATGTTATCCAGGAATACAGTCCTGGTGTGGCAGGAGTCCTGGTGTGGCACTGTGGGATAAAGCACTGGACCACAAGGTCAGATTAAAGCACAAGGTTGGCGGTTCAAACCTACCAGCCACTCCTTGGAAACCCTATACAGGGTTGCTATGTGTCAGAATTGACGCGACAGCACTTAACAACAACAGGAGTAGAAAGTAAGTTCTGTGCAGACAAAAAAAAAAACTAGAAAAAAGGTGCCCATTTCCCCTCATGCTGTTGGAGTGAGCTCTAAGACTCGGATGATTCTGCGTCAGTTTAAGTTCTGAAATGGGGTAAGTCCTGCCGACAAAATACCTGACGTTCTCTTAAACGGGCCTACAATACCAGCTCTGGCAGAACTGAACAACTGAAGGCAAGAAGGAGAGCAGGCTTTATCAGAATGACACTGTCACAAGCTCAGTGACCCTGTGGCATACTTGTGAGGACAAAGCTAAAAAGCAAAATGAATACATAAATAAACAAAACTGTGCTGCTTATGATTTGGGGTGCTATTAGGCAACTTTAACAAAGAACACGGAATGAACTCAATAGATAGCTTTAAGCACAGCTGACAAAAAAGCTTTAAAAAGTTACCGCTGACGATCTGACTTGTATGTGGCTGTCAGCTCATCAAACATGGTGCTGTTCATTTCCATAAATGCCTTCAACACATTGTACACTAACGCCACGATAGCCCTGCAAGGCAAAAAGAAAAAGGAAGATTTTGGTTATTCTTTACATAATAAGAGTGCTGAATAAAGAAAGCTTAGGCACAACTTCCTTTCAGGGAGCCCCTCTTTTTTGCATATTCTACCTCCCTTTCTTTGTAGCTGAACAACCAGAAATGACCTCCAGTTCATTTCCACATCCAAACAGTTAGATTCTTTACTGTTCAAGGAAAGACAACCTTCTGTAGGGTTTGGCTGGTTGGTTGGTTGGCTGGTTATGTGCCGTGGAGTCAGTTCCGACTCATAGCGACCCTACACAGGGTTTCTGAGGCTGTAAATCTTTACAGGAGCAGAAAGCCTCATCTTTCTCCCACGGAACAGCTGGTAGTTTTGAACTGCTGACCTTGCGG